GGCAGGTGAGAGCACAGACTCTCCCCCAGGGGCTGAACCCCAGGGTTCAACTCCCAGGCCCAACACAGGGGAGCTCTGTGACCTGATCTCTCTGTGCTTCAGTTTCCTCATCCCCAAACACAAGCAATGAAAAAATTGTCAGGATCATTTAAGTTCATCAGTACAGTCATGATTTGTAGTTGCTTGATATTTTGGAAGGCTCAGCTCCAGCACACCATGAGGACCAAAATCTACAGATGCGCAGGTATCTTGTACAAAATTGGATAGTGTTTATATATGCACATCCTAATGTATACTCCAGATCATATCTATATTACTTATAGTATCTAACACAATGTGATGCTATGTAAGTAGTGGTTATACTATATTGCTTAGCGAATCATGACAGGAAAATATCTGCACACATTCAATACAGATGCTTTTTTTTTTTTTCAAATACTTTTGGTCTGAGGTTGATTGAACCCACCATGCAGGGTCTACAGACACAGGTTCCCTGCTGTATACCTGAAGGAATTGCAATCATGCCTAGCTCTCTCGACCACGGCTCCATATGCTTTAACTGTTGTTGCTACAATTTCAAGGCACTCACAAAGCTCGAAATTTGAAAGTGCAGAAGTCAAGGGTTTGGTGTGAGACTTAACTTTCCCACTAAATGTAGCTCCTTCTAAGAATAGAACAGAGAAGGCTTTCCCAGGGAACAGCACTGAGAAGAACATTCCTTCCCTTCTCTCCACAACCCACTTGTAGCCCTCCTTCGGTTCCCCTGGGATCCTTTGCTAACTGTTCCAGCCCGCACAAGCCCCTCAACATGCTCACAGCCCCAGGAAAAAGGCTTGCATCTTCTGTCGCCTCACCTCATCCATCTTCCCTCTGCCTGCGCTGCCTCTCAGGTCTCCCTAGAGCCCTCTCTCATCACCCACTGGGCAGGTACAGGGGGAAGCCAGGTGCTCCCAGCTTCAGGCTTAGAATTAACTTCCTCACTTACCCTGTAGCCCTTAGCCACCAACAGCTGAGGAGTAGAGACTGGAGGGCATGAGAAGTAGAATGAGGTGGGGCACCACCCAAACTGGGGCTCTCCCAGGTATCCTGGATAATAGGTCCTTCTGACCCCTCCATCCTGGAGCCTGAGAGAAAACCATCTCTTTTACCCAGAGTGAGCAATAACCAGCCTTCCCCCATGCACACGCTAAAGGCCAACTCCTACATCTTTCACATGTTCTCACCAGCTTGAGCCATCAATGGTTCATGACTATCCCATCAGGCAGCTTGTCCTGATGGCAGTACAAGTGCCACAGTCCCTCACGAGACAGTCCCACACATACCCACAGTGTTTGAAGCTGCCCAACAGCAAGATGTGAATTATAACTCCATCATGAACATGCTAAACCAGAATTTTCTGTTAAAAAGTACTACATGTTCTTATAAAATTTTGGAGCACTATTGACAAGCACAAAGAAAAAAACTAGAAATGATTGATACTTCCATGATACATGGCTAATGACATGCAAAGTGCTTCTATCTTGTCATCGTAGATAGATGTCTTAGAGGTGTGGGCTTCAACTACACCCAGGACAAGGAACTGACACCTCTGTGCCTATTCCCAATAAGTAGCACTGAGTATATTCATGTGACCCATGAGACTCCTGTGCCAAACTCAAACCAAGACATACCTAGGGTTCAGACATACAGGCTTGTACGATAAACCTGCATGGTTGGGCTGGAGAGATGGCTCAGTGGTCTAAAGCACCTACTTAGAACAAGCTTAGCAAAGCATCAGGGACCGCGGTTCAATCCCCCAGCACCACGTGCCAGCCAGCCCCGCCCCCTGGTGGGCTGAGCTGGCCACACACACACACACTCTTTCTCTCTCTCTCTCTCTCTCTCTCTCTCTCTCTCTCTCTCTCTCTCTCTCTAATAAATAAATAAATAAAATTAAAAAAAATAAAAATAAAATAAACCTGCATGGTTATTGGTATATGTCAGCTTGGTGAGGCTGTGGTGCCTTGTATGGCCAAACACTTGCCGAGATGACGTTATAACATATTTTAAAAATGTGATTTGCACTTAAGTCAGTAGACTTTGAGTAAAGCTGATAACCCCCTGCCCTCCGTATGTGGGTGGGCCTTGTCCCATTAGTTGAAGGCTTCAAGAGTAAAGAGAGGTTTTCCGAAAGAAGTAACAACTCACCTTCCAGACTGGAAGCCCTGCTGGTGTGGCCATCCTGCCACACCTGCACTGCAGATTTCATACTCAAGACTGAGCTTCCACCGGAGCTCAGTGTGCCTTGTGGATGCAGGATTTGCCAGCCCCCATAATGCTGTGAACCAGTTTCCTAAGCCAAATCCTTCCACATATGTGTTCTCCTGATTCTATTTCTCTGAAGAACTCTGTCCTTAATCCTGCCAGAGTCACAGTCAGGGACAGCAGAGCCAGGCACAGTCTGTGCAGAGCCATGGGTGCTGGTCAGGGCAGGAGGAGGGTCTCACCACAGGGCTGCACCACTGCTCTGTGGCAAGGACAGGGGTCCCCTGAGTCCTGTGCAAGCCAGAGAGGAGAGACATGCGTGGGATAAAGAAGCTGGGATGCTGCTAGGAGGCGACCATGAGAACAGGAGCCTCTTGAGCTCATAAGTGACCAGGGAGGCTGCTGACCCTCCCCAGGGAAGTAGGATGGCGTGCTCACAGCAGTCATATCCCATCCCAACGGACAGCGGTCACCACAGGCTAAGAGAGATGGATGGGGAGGTAAGGAGAGAGCAGCCTCGCACAGTGAGGACCCAGTGTCTTCTTCTCCCAGACCTCAGTGTGGGGGCTGGAAGGCAAGCAGACAGTGGGCACAGGATCCTGCTCTGCCTTCCCTGAGCTCTGAGCTGCTCCTTGCTCTGCCCTATTTCTAGCCTCAGCCTGCTGATGACCGCATGTGTTGGGAAGGTGGAGGGACAAGCCAGGAGGTGAAAGCTGCTGTCCTCATGGCACCAACATCCCCTCTTTTATCATTCCCAGAGCCTTGCCTTGTTCCAGAAGCCACTGAGGACCACGGAGAAGATCAGAGTGGAAGGAAGTGGACTCCAGTCGCTGTCAGACATGGCTAGCTTTGGCCAATGGAGCAAAGCACAGCCTCCACAACCCGTGGCCACAACGACAATCAGAATGTCAGCCTGAAAGGCCACCAGCTCATGCCAGAGAAAGCTGGGGAGGGAAGCCAGACCCCTGAGAATCCAAACTTCTCCAGCCCCGTCCATGACCCAGGAGTGACGAGAGACAGCTGGCATGGAGTTGAGCCTCACCCCATGTGACAGACGAGAAGCTCAAGGTCCTGGCGAAGCCATGTTTTCCCAGGGTTTTCCCTGCTGAGCAATGCGGTGGGACGGGAACACTCCCTCCCACTCCCTGTTCAGGCCTCACAACACGGGCAGAGGACAAACTCCCCAGCTGCAGTCCTTACTCCTCCCTAACTCGGTAGTGGCAGCCACCAGGAGAGCAAGACAGTGTGGCCTTCCTGGCACATTTTGCCCTGCTGTGACAGAAGACCATAGGTTGATTTATGAGGTCAGAGACTTAGTTTTTGCAGTGCTGGAGGGAAAGAAGTCACAAGGTCAGAGAGCGTTCGTCTATCAAAGGCCTTCCTGCTGCACCGTAACATGCAGAAGGCATTACGGCTCTCCTTATAAAAGCTAACTCCAGGCATGGTGCCGCACGCCTAATCCCAGCACTCTGGAGGTTGTGACAGCAGGATTGCTGCAAATTAGAGACCGGCTGGGGGCTGCAAAGTGAGCACAAGGCCTGCCCAAACTGCCTAGCGAGACCCTGTCTCAAAAAAGAAACAAAGAAAGACTTAATTCCACCCCCACCCTCATGACCCCTAGTACTTCCCCTTGACATCTGGATTTGGAGACTGTCTCCAGTACATGAACTTAGGAGGGCTGAAAGCTGAAAGTGGGGGGGGGGGTCGGTGGTGGAGCACTTGCCTAGCATGTGTGAGGCCATAGATTTGATCCCTAGTACTAGGTAGGAAAGTCAATTAATGAAACACATTCAAACCACAGCATGGCATCTGGTGTCCCATGGCTCAGTTTTTTGTCCTCCCATGGTCCAAAGCAAGAGCAGCTACTCTGGACATGGGTGGTTCCTTTAACAAAAGCCACCTCCCTGCCCTGCCAGTCTGCTACCACCTGCCATAGTCTTGTCCTATGTGCAGACAGGTGTGCCCCGAGCTGCCCACACCTTGGCCTCACTGGTGACCATAAGGGCTGAGCTGAGGCCCCACCAATCACACAGAACACGTGCCTTTTACTGACCTGTCCCCTCCAGCTCCTACCCTAGGGGGACCCCAAGGTGGAGACCTAGCAAATCACCCCAGAGCAGGGTCATGCTAAGCCCCAGAGGAGAAAGGGTC